CAACGTATAACCCACCCCCCAGGGAAACGAACAAGAGAAACATGGGCGAAGGGAGACAGCGGATGGTGTAAGATATGAAAATAATAACATAATTTATCAGGGGTCCAAGGGGCGGGGGGGCAGAAAGGGGAGCTAATACTAAGGGCTCAAGCAGAAAGAAAATGTTTTGAAAATGATGGCAACATATGTACAAATGAGTTTGATGCAATTGATGCATGGATTGTTGTAAGAGCTGTAAGAGCCCCCAATAAAATGATTTATTTTTTTTTAAAAAGGGGGTCATGCTAGCCACTTTATCGTTCGTCTCCTGTCCTCAGAGTGAATAGCAGGATGAATCCCAAAATGTTTAAGGCACATTTTCTACTTCCTCAAATTTAATAACTCCTCACTTTTATCCCGTTTTTCCTCTTAATAAATTGCAGAGCACTTCTGTCACGTGAGGAACAACTGGAGTCAATAAGAGAAACATTTTGCAATTGCAATAACCGGTACACTACCATCCTTCCTTTTCCCTTTAGTTTTCTGAGGATGTAACAAGAGCCACGCACGCCCATTTCTAGCTTTGTGAACCTCTCTCATGACAAGCTTATGATTCCCTAGCCAGAAAATGGTGAAGCCTGCAAAGCAAATTTAAAAGTCCCTGGCCAGGAAGACTCTGCAAAACCTGCAGTCACATCCTACTACACTGGTAAACACAGGGACAGAGAGTTTCCTGAAAACTAAGATGACAAGACTGTAGCTAATGCGAAGTGGTCCTCTTAAATGTCAGGTTTGAGGATATGACAAGACTTCCAGTAAAACCGAGGTAGCCCTCCCCACCACCCAGCAGGGAGTCTGCAGTGCTGCCCACAGGGTTTTAGCAGGACAGCGTGGGAGAGGTCTGACTTGCTTTGAGGATTTTTCAGGCCAGTCAGCATTGGGAGCACCTGGCATTGGTAATTGCTTAAGGAAATCTGGGCTTTACATACTCAAATCCTTATGGTCACCTCTCCCTGGTGACAAGGATTTTCCTGCTAAAAAGGATGATTATGGAGACGTCAAAATACAGATTTAACGGTCAGTTGAAGTAACATTATCAGTCTAGCGGCTGGCATAAGTCCTTCCTTTCCATCATGGTGATTTTTCTGATTCGAGCCCGATTCTGCATGTTAAAATTATAAGTCATTGTAAATACATCCTGGAAATTAGTTTCTATATGCTAACAAAGTATAAAGACTCTTTTTGGACCAATGTCTGTGAAGCAAAACAGTGCTACCATTCAACATGTTCCCAAGTGGCGTGCAAGAAAACTCTATACAATTTGCTTCCTTACCTCTAGTTCGTAGCCAGCTTCACACTGATAGGTGACTACGCTTGTGACCTCGTATTCACTGCCAACTATCCATCCATGGTCAGGACTTTCTGGTTTCCCACAGGAAACTGGACTGCAGGAATCATCAGAAAATGGTGGCTGCCAAGTGCCGTCCATCTGCACAATCAATAAATGACAAGTTATGTTTAGGAGTTAATTTGGATTAAGATGGAAATTTGAAAATAATGCTTGTCTAGTAGAATAACTCTGAAAAGTCAATGGCGCCTAGAATTTGGCTCTTTAGGTGGTTGGAAATGGTCACTGAATAATTTTAGACATTTCTCGAACCCACAGAGCAAGTATTTTTATTTTTTTCCTTATGAGTCTAGGTAGCAAAGAACACCAAGGAGTATACTTTCCTTATAATGCATGTTATACTGCCGACTGGATCGGGGAAGGAATACAACATTCCATGACATCGTATCCTTCCATTTCACATATTCTCACATTTTAACTGGAGGGGTGTGAGAAGCAGTAGCTCTGAGCCACACAGTGGTGTGCAAAAACAGGCCGTCTTGAGACGGGGGTGGGGTGGGGTGGGGGGGTGGGGGTGGAGCAGGCCTTCTGCAGGTGGTAGCTCCAGGTGGAATCGACTTGAGGCAACAACAGTAATGAATGCGGGGTCCCGGGAAGAAGCCCACAGTGAATATGCTCAGCTGTGAACTGAAAGGTTGGAGGTTCAAGTCTCATGGGAAACACCCAGAGAAAAGCCCTGGAGATCTACTGAGAACCCCGAGGTGTACACTTTGACCCGACACAATTTCGGGATAGGTTGCTGTAAGTTAGAAACAACATGAGTGCAATTTTTCTTTTTCTTTTAGTGAACCAAGGACTGAGTGATGCAGCTGGGTCAGCGATGAACTGCTAACCTAAAAGTTTGGCAGTTCAAACCCACGAGGCATTCCTCCGGAGGCAGCTGAGGTTAGCTGTTCCAGTAAAGTTTGATGGCTTCAGAAACCCTATGTCGGGTCACTATGAGTCCGAACTGACTTTACGGCAGTGGATTTGACTTGATGAAGAAGTATATATAAGTAACGAAACATTAGGAGGAGAATGAAATCGTTTCTGAGTCCTTACTCCATGGCAAGCACATACTTAGGACACTTTTTGAACCTTAAAGAAGTTAGTCATTTCAATTGCTGCCGATTTACAAATGAGGCCAAAAGTTGAAGGGCTATAAGGTGAAAGGGTGTGTAAGTATTTACACTGAGGTGTAAACAAAAGGCTATTTAAGGGAAAAGACATTCCTATACGATGCATCATTTCTCCTTCCTACTCTGAAGAGAGGAGTGCATCCATGACTCAGTTTCTTTTTCTTTCTCTGGCACCTCTTAGGGCACCTGGAGAGAGAAGTGCTAAGAAGCACTATCTACATGCCTTCCCTCATTTGACAAGTTTCTCTCATTCATCCTACAAGGAATGCATTACTATGTGCATTTTTTTTTCAAATAAGGACTCTGAAGCTCAAAGTACTTAAATAACTTTTTAAAAGTCACATAACTAAAACCCAGACGTCACTGCCATCTATTTGACCCTGACTCATATCAGTCCTCTACGACAGGGCAGAACTGGCCCGTAGGCTTCTGAGACTGTAGCTTTTTACGGGAATAGAAAGCCTCACCTTTCTCCCAGAAGTCACACACTCGTTCCAATTCAAGGTGAGTGGCGATTGGCTCAGAGCTACCCTGAGGGAAGAATGTAACTGCCCAAATGGTTTCTAAGGCAGTAAATCTTTAGGAAGCAGAGGACCATAATTTTCTTTTGTGGAGCACCTAGGAAGTTTGAACCTCTGACCTTTCAGTTATCAGTTAAGCACTTAATGACAGAACTAGCTGTGCCTCTTTAAAAGTTGCATAAACTCACTGCCAGGTGGTAAGTAATCATGGCAGAATTTGATGCCAATTACTCATATTTAAAAAAAACAATCAGCCATTGAACATTCTCTATGAAGTATAGTTCTAGTCTGACAAACATGGAGTTGTCAGGAATCAGTCAACTTGAAGGTAATTTTATTTTTTTCCTTTTTTTTGGTGGGGGTTGTGTTTTGGAGCCTTTAAACCAAAGGCATTAAACGAAAACTGGAAACATTTAACTTTGGCAACTTCAACACCCATTTTTGCTAATTTGTCCTGAGTATTTTGCTCTAGATACTTTAACATTTCATCTACAAAACCTCTTGACACTTTCCTGCTTTAAGGTGGGTCTAGTTAGAAGAAAGACACACATAGGAGGGGGTACCCCCCCAAAGGGGGGGGGGGAAACTGCTGGGTGGAGCTTTCTTGGTACACATTTTCCCTATTACTAGCATCAAGCAACTTGTTGAGTTAGTGCACTCAGTGGCATCACCTGGGAAGCTTCTCTCTGGTCACAGTGAATTTTTTTGTAAAAGCAGTTTCACCCGATCCTTGTTTTTTGTGATGGCTGATTTAAGAGAACAGTGTGTGGCTGTGAAATTTTGTTTCCTGATTGGAAAAAATGCAGCAGGAACTGTTGTGATGCTGCATAGCTTACGAGGGAAAAACTCAAGTGTACGAGTGGTTTTCTTGTTTCAAAAAAGGTGAAATATCGATTGATGATAAGCCTCATTCTGGACGTCTGTCAACTTCCTGAATGGACAAAAAATGTCAACTCATAGTGCATTTGGAGTTAATTCCACCAAGTTGGCCTGTTAATCAAGCTTTCTGTTTAGAGGTTCTTAAAATATTGCATAACAGTTTGTACCAAAAAGTCCTGATTTGTGGCAGATGGGGGACTGGTTTTGCCATCATAACAATGCACTTGCTCACACAGCCATCTCAGTGCGCCAGTGTTTGGCAAAAAACAGAATGCCTCTCTTGCCCCATGCACCTTACTCATCTGACCTCGCTCTGTGTGACTTCCATGAATGGAGAGGGACATGAAAGGACAGTGATTTGATGATGTAGAAGAGGTGAAGAAAAAAATTAGGGAAGTGCTGTCAGCCACCCAAACAGATGAGTTTGAAAACTGTTTCTAAGAATGGAATGGCAGATTTGACCAATGTATTAAGTGAAATGGAGAGTACTTTGAAGGTGAGAATGTTGTTTTGTAAAACAAATTTAAATGCATAGCTTTGAAAAAAAGTCTGTTTCTTTTTTTTAGGTGGGGGGTACCCTCTTGTATTTCTCTACTGAGAAACGTCAAATAATTTGACATGATTAAGACCTTGAGCCATTGCTTCAAAAAAAAATTTCTCCAACTGTTGGAAATGGCAAGATTCTAGTTATGTGGTGTTAAGGACATGCACTCAAGCTCTCTCTCTCTCTCACACACACACACACACACACACACACACACACACACACACACACACACACGAGTACACACACAATTTTTACGTACATGCTTTAATGTAAACAGACTCTCACCTGGCATGTTGATATGTTCACGCCTTTATAAGTATAGCCTTCTGCACATGACACAGAGACTTGCTTGTTCACACTGAAATCGTCCCCCTGAATGAGTAAATGTGTCCTTTTGTCTGGCAGAGGGCATTTTTGGGGAATGCAGGTGATTCTCTCAGGGAACCAATGGCCGTCTTTCTGGCAAGTGAAGGTGTCGATATTTGTCTCCATCATATACCCTTCTAGACATCTGCAACAGAAATGCACAAATGGATGGGGCTACGACAGTGCTGCGATACCCAGGGCCTGCACACAATCTGTTCCTGGATGCCAGACGCTCGTTTAAGGCTAACAAGAGACTCTGTGCAATATATCAAATCCGACTCCCATGTCAGGTGACCAACATTGCTGTCTGAAACACCAATAGAACGAGGAGAACCAGATCAACCCTTATCATTCGCAACAAAGTTTATCCAAGACTAAAATTGTATTAAATGTCCCCGGCCTTATTATTTTTACCGTATATTTGATTATTGAAATTCTAGACTGTTTGAAATAGACCCAAACATGTGTGGGAATATGACATTCTTCATATTTATTACCTACTTTGGCCAGAAATTGCTCTAGATATCTAACATCTACTACTTCTTTTAATCCTGAAAATCTGCCATAGTACTGTTGCTGTTCAAACTCAGGTCCTCTTGAGTCTTAGACCCTTTGTAATAGGAATGTATTTATTTAACACATGTTTAAATAGAACTTACTAAATTGTAATCACAGTTCTAAGTACTTTGCAAGCACCAATCACATTTAATAACCTTAACCTGCTCCATGAATCTCTACAGAATATGACCGTTATGACAATTGCATTAGGAACTAAATCTTAAAAATGTGTACCCTCAGTTTTCAGTTGATGGGTTTCTACATAATCCTGGATAGACTAAAGCCAGGTGTTTAAGGGTGTAGTTTCCAGAGAACCATCTAGAGCTGTTTCCTTTCCAATTAAGTACATGTTTTAACCTGTCACTTCTCAGTTAATAACCCTGTTACTTGAACTTTTGGGAAATTCTAAAGTCATGGCCTCACCTGAGTTTCACTTTACTTTCAAAGGTGTATGTTTCTCCAGTTGCCACTGCATTGTCAGTGACTGGCGGGGCACCACACGACAGGGGCTCACAGATTGGATAAGGCTGCCTCCATACCCCTTGCTCTGTACAGATCAGGTCAGCACTGCCCTGCATGACATAACCAGATCTGCAGCTGTAAGTGATCACGTTTTCTTCCAAAGGCCCACTGTCACTGAGAAATGCATTTGATATCGTTGGGGGGGAACCACAGAACATGTGCTCACAACGTGGCAAGTCAGTGCTCCATTGGTCATTGGCTACACAGCTGATTTCAGAAAGTCCCAAGAGCTTGAAGCCTTTGAAGCAATGAACACGCGCTGCCTTCCCACAACCAAACTCTGTCCCATTAACAGCTCCATTTTGAATCAGTGGGGCCGAACAACTGCAAGGCAGGCAGGAAGGTATGCTGCCACTCCAGGAGCCATTGGCGAGACACCTTCTTGAAGGATTTCCATGGAGCTTATAACCAGGAAAGCACTGATACTGTATCTGCCCTCCGTGAGAAAAGGCAAAGCCACTGGGGAAGTCATGGGTAAGGTCTTCAGGAGGCCCGCAGTTAATGGGTATACAGCGAGGAACCTCTGCATCCCAGTCACCATTGGCTTGACAGGTGATTTTGGAAGCACCATGCAACATGTAGCCCTCCTGACAGTGGAACACAACCTCCTTCCCAAAGCCATAGTCCAGGCCCTCCGTCACCCCGTTGACCACCTGTGCAGGGCTGGCACATCTGATAGGCACACACACCGGAGTAGCTTTACTCCAACGCCCGTCAGCAAGACAAACACGGCTCTTGGCACCCTCAAGCAAGAATCCTTCATTGCAAGTGTACTCCACCTCTTTCTGGAATGTGTACACATCTCCCGTCACTTGACCATGGGCTAAGACTGGTGGTGAACCGCAGTCTACAGGAAGGCACATTGGTTCTCTCCCATCCCAGTTTTTATTTTCTTGGCACGTTCTCCTCTCCGTGCCGTTGAGGATATACCCAGGGTTGCATTCATAATACACCACGCTTAAGTAGCCATAGCTGCTTCCTCTGATGGAGCCATTCAAGAGTGGGTTTGGCTTTTTGCACAAAATGGCTTCACAGTGCGGTGAGGCACCACTCCACTCTTTGTTCTGCAGACAGAGCCTTGTGCTGGCACCCACGAGGACGTACCCAGCTTTGCAGCTGTACTGCACTGCACTGTCCATGGTCATCTCTGTAAAACGCAGAAAGCCATTTTCGGGCACAGCAGGCAAGTTACACTCAATGGAAAGGCAGGAGGGTGCACTACCATTCCAGGTTCCATCTTCTTGGCAGAACAGCAGAGAGTTCCCCAAAAGTTCATAGCCTGGATGACAGGTATACGAGACCACAGTGCCATACAGGTAGCTCGAGCCATGAGTAGCAGCCGGAGACGCCTTCAACATGTCCAAAGTTGTAACCGTTGTTCCCAAATGATGAGGAGGGGGAGGGGTCAGATATGGAACTTCCATCATTTCCTCCTCCTCCTGGTCGAAATATGCGTGGCCATCTTTGACCTTAATACAGTCTCCAAAGTCCACGTGCGGAGGGAGGCCACAGTCTATGTGAACACATGTTGGGATAGAGCTCGACCATCCTGACTCTTCACAGGTCTGCATGGCATGACCCACCATCTGGAACCCTGGGAAACAGCTGTAGATGACCATGGCACCGAAGCTGTGATCTGCACCTTCCACAAAGCCATTTTCAATGGGCTGTGGGGGGTGACAGTGTATGGCATTGCAAGACGGGACATCCATATCCCAATCACCTGTTTCTAAACAAGTCAAGGCTTTGGGCCCCTTGAGCCTGAAGCCTTGGTCACAGGAGTAAGTAACAGTCTGCCCATAGTGGAGATTGGTGTAAAAGAATTTGCCATTCGAAATCTCCTTGGGCTTCGGACACTCAATGGGCACACACGCTGGTTTTCCACCCAGCCAGTGACCTTTTTCACCACAAAGGATGGTAGTGTTTCCCACCAATTCAAAGCCTGGCTTACAGGTGTAGAGAGCCGTGCTGAGATAGGCAAGACCTTGCACGTCAATGATGCCGTGGGGGACCTCCTCAGGCTGGGGGCATTCTACCGGAACACATTCTGGCAGCGGGGAGCTCCAGGTGCCATCCGCCTGACAGAAAGTGGTGGTGTTTCCTCTTAAGAAAAACCCATCGACACAAGAATACTCAACGGTGCTTCCAAAATGAAGAGCCGAGGCAGGAGCCGGGCCACCAAAGGCGATCAGAGGAGGTGGGAGGCAAAGGACCAGCTTACACACAGGAAAGGAGCCATTCCACCGGTGGGACGGCAAGCACTTCAGGGTGGAGGGTCCTTGGAGGGCATGGCCTTCTCTACAGGAAAATGTCACCACACCTACTTCTGTCGTCAACTCCTTCAGTACCAGCTGATTCTCCAAGAGGGGTGGCTCTGGGCATTTGGCAGGCACACACTTTTGATTGGGTTTCTTATTCCATTTGCCAGACTTCTGGCATGTCCATGAACTATCTCCAAGAAGCTCATAACCCTCATGACAGAAAAACTGAACCTTCGAGCCTACTTCAAAGTTGTCTCCTTTCACGTAGCCATTCTGAATCGGGGGAGGTTTTCCGCAGCTCAGAGGGATGCACGACAGAGGGGACTCGCTGTGCCAATGGCGGTTGGCTTGGCAGACAAACACAGGATTGCCGACGGCGGTGTATCCTGGGTTGCACCCGTATCGCACTTCACTCTTGAAGATCCTGCCAGCTGCATGCTGCAAAAATGGGCGACAACAATGGAGTGACATTTTATACCAGATCATAGCATTACTGAAATCGGTCGGTTAGTTAAAAAGAACTGAACTGAACTGTTCACATGAAAAGGAATCCATCAGGACCGAAGCAAATCTGAATTCATCCTCTGTCTAACACAGGGGTTCTCAACCTTCCTCATGCTGTGCCCCTTTCATACAGTTCCTCACGTGGTGGTCACCCTCCGACCATCAACTTATTTTCATTGCTACTTGATAACTGTCATTTTGCTACTGTGATGAATCAGGTGGCCCCTGTTTAAAGGTTGTTCCACCTCCAAAGGGGTCGCGACCCATAGGTTGAGAACCACTGGTCTAACCCGTCTGTCTGAGTTCTCTCTGTTTACAAAGGAAAAGGACAGTAAGATCAGAATTACGTAAGAGTTGCCAGACCTGTTCATTACAGTGCCAAGCTCATTAAGTAGAAGAACAACAGTCTTGAGACTGATTGAAAATGGATGGAGCGCTATTGAAAACTAAGTTATTTGGTAAATAAAAATAAAAATCATGCTGGCCAAAACAATGCGAGAGCTTGTTGAAATCACAAAAAGGGAAGCACACATACATTTATTCTTTAATATTTCACATAACAAGTAAAGCAAAAATATGGTATTTTCCCTAGAGATGACCCTACGAGCCCTGTCCGAGTGTCATCCTTCACACACAGGCAAATCTGTAGTGTTAAATTGCCACTAGCCCACGAGGATGGGACGTTCACAGCAATATGTTTGTTTTTCAAAAGCAAACCTTTAATGCTCATTACTCTAGCATTCAAATAAATAAATGCGAAATAGAATGAGGTCACTTTCAGAGAGTGCAACTGATGAATTATTTATGAAAACTGGAGAAAAAAGCTGATCGGGTTTCACTGCTAGTGGCTACGGTAAGTCTAGCCCCATGCTGTAGTGAACTAACCCCCCTCTGGCAGGAGCTAGTTGCTTTGCTGACTTACTGCTGTTTGAGCACAAGCCTGTGTGCTAGTGCCGTCCCGTCACCGGCCTGAGACATACTGTCAATGGCTACGTTCCCAAGCATGCCCCCTATCCTGGGCACCTAGCAGTAGCTCCCCCACATATGTGTTGGATGAATTAAGTGTCGAATGAAGAAATATGTGTGGAGTGAAGAAAATCTTGTTGTAAATGAGCATAACACCACCCTAATTTACCAATGGAGAACAGACACCTTTTCTTTAAGGTATTTGCTATGGTTTGCTGTTGTTGATTAAGATAAAGGAGGAAAACATCTAGGTTTCTTAGAAAATGTTTAATGAGAAGGCTACTGATTTAGATCTCCTTGATTTTAGGGACTAGATTCCTAACCCTTTTATCTTGATGGGCTGCAGGAGAAGGCGTGCCAGAGTGAAGGCAGTCTGCCGAGTCTGTTTTGATCAGGATGAGGACACTTTCAGGATGACTCGGGACGGTAAGAACTGCCTCATGTGTCACCTGTCTCCTCTCTACTAGGAAGATATGATCAGAGTCCTCTGCTATACCTGTTTGTGGTGGTCTGGTAGACCTCGATTTCTATAAAATAAAGTATACACTCATCTTGCAAAGGTTTCTTCTATAAAACATAATATTTTATTGGAATTGATTGATTCTAACTGTACATGTAGGCTAAGAGATCACCACAAAGGGTTTAGAATGCCTATATGCTGGTAGAATATTAAAAGCTACTCATTAAAAGGATTCATAACTATGATGATAATGAAGATTTCCTTCATTATCCACGACCTCAGGAGCCCTGGTGGTGCAGTGGTTAACTGGCTGGCTACTAAGTGAAAGGTCAGCAGTTTGAATCCCCAGCTACTCTGAGGGAGAAAGCGGTGGCAGTCTGTTTCCATAAAGATTAATAGCCTTGGGGACCTAATAGGGATTGTCACCGAGGGTCACTGTTAGTTAGAACTGACTTCAGGGCAAAGGGTTTGCGTCTTCATAGGGGTTATCTGCTATCTATAGATCTTATTTCTTCTCTTTCCCAACCCTTATTCTGCTCCCTGCTCTTGCCCCCGAACTCTGGGTCAGCCACAACCGTTCGGTTCTCAGAGGGATGGAAGGCAGGGTTGACTTGCTTGCTAGTCATTCTCTTACCTCCAGAAAGCCATTGTCCACCTTAGGTGGCTCATTGCAAGAGACAGGGTGGCATGTGGGTACAGGGCCACTCCACTGTCCCGTGGCTTCACAGGTGCTCTTCTTCTCCCCTTTGATGTAGAATCCCTTGTTGCAGCTGTAGGCCACCATGGCCCCAAAACCGTAGCTTGACCCACTTGCATAGCCATTCTGGATGCTGGGCGGCTCTCCACACCGTACAGGAATGCACTGGATGGATGTGGGGGAGGGGTTCCACTGCCCGCCTCTCATGCACTCAATCTTTGCTGAGGTGTTCAGCACAAAGCCTTCCATGCATTTGAAGCTCACGACGGAGCCGGCTGCAAATTTTTCTTTACTCACAGAGTCCAGGATGCCATAGGCAACAGATGGGGGTTTTTCACAGAAATGAGCAACACAGCGGGGTATGGCCTGACCCTCAGGGGGAACCCACTTGCCCTGGGCATTGCAGAGGAGCTGGGAGTTGTCTGCCAGGCCGTAGCCATCAGAACAGTAGTAGAAGGCGATGTCTCCAAACAACCGATGGCCAGTCTCGGGAGAGGCGTGCTCCACGTCGGGGGGCTCATCACAGGAGACAGCCAGGCACTGCTGGTTACTGCCACTCCACTCACCATTGGCCAGGCATTCAATGCTGTCTGGACCAGCAAGGATATAGCTGTAAGATTGGGAGAAAGAAATCATAACTAAATGCATATTGGGAAAACCATCTTACTGTTGTTATTTTAACTCTCTCTAACAACGACTTTCCTTTTATCCTTAAAAACATTTTTGGTAAACACATATGTAAATATTGTAACTTCAACATTCTTCAAATGCACAGTTCAGTGGCATTATGCTAATCATGCTGTTCAATCATTATCCTTGCAAACTTATTTAAAACAATATTCATTCTTCGACTATTGGCCTTCTTGATCAAATGGCTTTCCTCTGAACATGTAAATCTACCATGCTTTTAATATGAATGCTTGCTCAGAAAGGGAAATGGATTTGTTTAGGTATTTGCTAGAAAAAAATCTCTAATATTCATTACACATATTTTTAAAAAAACATGAAGTATACGCTATGGTGGTGCCTGACTCTATTCCACACCGGAACTCTGTTTGTCTCGGGGTGGTTGTGGCCTATTGGAGTTAGTAACAGTCTCTGTAACCAGTGCAGATCAACCCAATTTTGCAACACACTGCTGACAGCTAACATTCACTTATTACTCAATGAACTGCGAAGCAGTGAGTACTGCGTGGGTCTCTAATGCCTTCTAACTGGTGGGTAGAGTTAAAAGTTGTGTTCTGCACATGGCTCTGCTCTTCATAACGTAATGGAAGATTACAAATACGTATTTGTTCACAAGTCCAAGGGATGCATTTTCAACACCACCCATAGTTTTAGAATTTACACTATCCCTTTGTCAGATGCAAAATCTACTTCTCTTTGTTTTTCTGTCAACAGTTATCTCTTCCGTAAACAATTTTAAGGGCCGGCTATCAGCCAGACATACTGCTAGGTGCCAAGCAAGACTCCCGTAGTGCCCAGAGGTGAAGCCAATAAATGCATTGTTTGCAAGTCTGTCTCTCATGATACTTCCAGGTGTCCAGTACCTGTTAGGACTCTTCACACCCAACAAAACCCCCAACCCAAACCCAAACCCTCAAAATCCACTGCTTTTGAGTCAATTCTGACTCAGAGTGACACCGCAGAGGATTTCTGAGGGTGTTCATCATTACTAGAGCTCATAGCCTCATCTTTCTCCTGCATAGTGGCTGGTGGGTTTGAACTGCCGACCAGGCAATTAGTAGTCCAACACCCAACCCACAGCATCATAACCGACAGTGCTTGCTTAAAGGAGGAGAGAAGGGAAACATTTTGCGTAATAACTCTCAGCCTTTCATTATGCACGAGGTATTTGCCTTATGATAGATTGATGACCTGTAGAAATCTTAAATGACACTCAATGTACTCTCAATGAAGTGGGCCAAAATATACTGATAGTTGGCATTCGAATAAGAACCATTGAGTCACTCTTATTTTCAGTCTCCATTTCTTGAAGAGGAGAAGGATGAGAAACATGTTTTGAAGGAGTTGTCCACGTCTGACCTGATGGACTAAAATTATTGGGCATCGAATTGAATTCTGTCTCAATAGACTGAGTTCTTCTGTTTCCCGAGTGAAAAGTGGCACAGGCAGGCTTGCCTAAAGTCTCTGCACGTGGCAAGATTTGGGGATCTCAATTTGGCTGATGTGGGGCATCCACCGGGGTATCCCGGGGTATCCTGTGGAAACTATTGCAGGGCCACGACTGTACGTTATTTGAGCGGCTCTTCTGCAAGGATTCTGAAATCGTTAGCTACCTTTTCTCCTGCAGTCACTTCACTTTACTTTTTACAAGGTGCCAGTTATTAGAAAGAGACTGGGATTCTTGCATCTCGTACGCCCCAATATATGGACTATGGAGGAGACACATAGTAGAGTTTCAAACATAGTAGAGCATCGAGAGGGAGGTGTGCCCCCCCCCCCCCCTACAGCCACAGATCATGCTCTGCACAGAGTGGTCTCAAAATCAATCTCTATGATCATCCCCCACAGCCGAGTAGTTTGCAGTGTGGACTAGCTACAACTCACTGCTTTGGATAAGCTCCGTGTTTTTCAGGAAGGTACAGCGGCACCACCCTCAAAGTACAATTGTATTATTGTTTTAAAGGTCCATTATTCGAGGTCTGAATCCCTAGCGTCTCCTGTTCCTGATAGGATGTACTTTGGGTGGAAGTTCCATTAGCTGAGACACCTCATGTCTTCTGGTACAATGACTTCATTTGCAAACTTGGAACCATGCACCATTATTTTCACAGGTCCCCTGATGCTGCTGGTACATTCACTGGTTGAACTTTTTAGGCACCGTCTTAGTCACACTGGACTTACTAGGATCCAGGTGCCACCTGTGAAAGGTTTCCTTTATTTCCTGGGACTCTGGCTCTCAGGCAGAAGCATCTATCTCCAGAACCATCCGTAGTCCTCACAGCCTCTTCAGGACACAGGATTTGTGGTTTGCAACTTGGAAAATCTCCACCCACTACTTTCCTCTATTGGAAAATCATAGCAAGGCTCTTCTGTAATGCGATGGAAGATTACCACCAGATGTACATTTGTTGAATCAGTGCATCTAAAGAATACACGTTTCTACACTACTCATAGCTTCTTAGGACCTGCAAGATCTTAAGAGCTTGATTCTATCCGCTGCGTGGGAGGGAAGGAAACATCTGACAAATGACGCAGCTGTTGATGGGAGTCATAGGAGAAGAGAGATAACGAGGAAGGGGAGTCTTTCAAGACAGAGAAATAGCATGAGCAAGAAAAGGGAATATGAAACGGGGGCACTCTGAACTCTTGCAAATAGTTAGGAATGGCGCATGAGCCCCCTGCAAAAGAAAAGATCACCGGGACATCGCAGAGGTTTTTTTGGGTGGCAGCAAGATGATGGTGATGATTGCTGTCAAACCCATTTTTGATGCACAGCGATTCCACATCAGTGTAGAACCGCTCTAACCTTTACAAGATCACCAAGTCTGTCTCCTGTGGAGCCCATTGGGCAGGCTTGACAGCCGTTTAGCGCCTTTGGGTGAACAACTATCGCGATGTAAAGTGAGTTACACAGCAGCAGGTGTGCATTAACTGGAAATGATTTTCAGTAGTCATTTGACAGGGTTTCTCATGAGATCTTAGAAGAACATGGTGTTGCTTGTTGCTAGAATACCAATACACTTAAATGGCTTACTAGCTGGCTAACCCAAAGATGATTGGTTATTAGAATTATGCTCGTTGGCTCTTTCATGTCCTGAACACCACAAACCTCCGTCTCAGCCCACATGCCCCTAAGCTTTTAAGCAGCACACAACTGCGTAGGGGAGGGAATAAGAACAGGCTCTCTCAAAGCTCCTGCTCTTACAAGAGATTACTCTTTAATACAGATAAAATGGAAAACCCTGCACTTGGACAATAAAGAAAAGCTGCCCCAACAGGAAAATCCGGCTTAGGAGTACCAAGTGTGAAGAATCTTGCAGTTCCATTTGACTGACGTTAATAAGTTGATAAGGACATGTTTAAAAGGGTTATTGCATTTCTAGAAATTCATTTATTCATGAAGAGAAAGAAAATAAATACTTATATTTAAAACACCATGCGCCAGTACCTGGATTTGGCATTAAAAAAAATCTCTGTTGGAGTAGTTATCACCTAATTTAGATGTGTCCTTGTGCGCTACGCTCTGGATCCAAGATTTCGAAGACGGGTTATTGCCCTGGGTCTGAAGGACAATGACCGTGGCACCGAGTGGACTTGTAACCATGTTCATTTGTGAGGAAGACACCCGACGTTGAGCAGTTCACACCTGTCTCCCTACCCTCTCACTTCCAAAGCTCCAAGCCCAACGCCGCTCAGACTATTGGTCACTGGAAGTTGGCTCACTGGCTGCAACAACGAGCGCCCACGTGAGAACAGCTCGGAGGATGGAGAGGACCATGTGGGGTTTCAGAGACTGGGCCTCCAGGAGTCCGAATCGACCCGATGACATCTAACAACGACGACGACAACAACAACAACAACCAAGGAAGAGGAGGATAAAGTGTGGATAACAGTAAATACCTTCTAAAATACACCAGCTGGTATCTCAAGATGCTAAAGAAGCACACAGCTTCCAAATGACAAACAAATGATCGTGTAACCAGTTGTTATCTATTGCCTAGTTAGAAACATAAGCCGTGTCTAATTAAATTGTTGCACCATTTCACTAGGTCAGAACTCGGATGTGTGTCAAATACCATGAAATAGGCCCTTACAATGGTGGCTACCACAGCAGGGTAGGTTTGGATCGGTGTATATTTGGTGTTGCAATGCTTAATTAACTTGTGTGTGACATTTTGTAATCCTGTTCAAGAGGCATGGTGGCTGCTCTTGTAGATTGTTATTAAAAAGCAGGCCTCATAAGTTATAAAACTAATTGGTTTATTCCATAATCCTATGGAAAAATGGCCCAGGAATATTAGAGTGATGCCAACAAAGAACACACGGTAGAATGTGCATTTACTTGTTTCTGGAATAATAACCAAGAATCAGTTGAATTTGGGCAGATTGATGTTCAGATCTAATTTTCTGTGATTTGACTGCACACTGAGTGGAAGTCGGCTCATGCACATGTACGTGGTGAGCGTTATGAGAGGGCTTCTGAGTCAGCTATTAGCCCTTCCCTTGGGGTACGCACCTTCATAGGGCAGCATATTATGTATTTAATCAGCTGCAATTTCACACGGACAATAAAAGCATCGTCTGCATGAGTCACTAATTCTGTTTTGCATTAACAACAAGGATCAAAGATTTTCTCGTAGCATATTCCACAACTGCATTTAGAAGCTTATATTTGAGAAGAATAAAAAGACAAAAAAAATGATGAGCATTTCAGGGTACTAAATCTATCCTTCTCCCAGGAAGACAAACATAAGGATGGAAAGAACGCTGAGAGACAGATGGCCACTGCACGGACTTGGTAAACGTCTGAAAATCCGCAGTGGGGATAAAAGATGAATTTAGCAGGTCTTTTTGGGGGGTGCAAGGTAACAATTAAATGAATCTTCATGTGTAATTAAGATTTTTTTTTTTAGCAAGAAAACATTGGCGCCACCTGCTGGCAGCCCCGCATTAGTGCGACGGGCGCGCCGACTTCCAGGACAGCACCATCATCATGACCGTCTGGCGTCTGGAGCTTGAGATACTCCCCCTGGCTAGGACAGGCCGCTATCATTTTACTCCTCACAATTGCCATGAGAAGTATGAATCTCTAATGAGCTAATTTTATACAGAATAAAATCGAGGCCCGGAGGGGTTCCAGCATCTTTGCATGCCCACAGTTCTTATACGGCAGAGATGAGAAACAAATCCAGAGACAAGCCCAGACGATGGTCATGAAAACATTATTATCCAGATGTGTGAAGGCAACTATCGTACATCTGGAGTGTGAGCATGTCGTTACTGCTGAGGATGTTTCTGGAGAGAGCATGGAAAAAGTCACGAGATGCAGCTCAGTTGACCAGGGATATAGACCTTCTCAGTCCCTTATGGGCCTTGAGACCCCAAGCCCACCCATCGCGGGCAGCTCCCTTCTCTTTTCGTGAGAATCACATGTGAAAACACTTGGTGTCTGTTTCCTGGTTAAAAAGAAACATGATCTCTGAATTCAATGGGATCACTGTCGCCCTAACCCACTGCTGTCTACGGTTTCTGAGGGTGCCCCTTTAAAAAAATTTTAAATACTTTTATTGGGGGCTCTTACATCTCTTATCCCAATCCATACATTCCTCCAGTGTGTCAAGCACATTTGCCGCTATCAACATTTTCAAACCATTCTCTTTCCACTTGAGCCCTTGATATCAGCTCCTCATTTCTTCCCTCTCCCTCCCCTGCCCGCCCTCCCTCACGAACCCTTGATAAGTTATAGATTATTATTTCCATATCTTACATCGTCCTTCCTCACCCCTCACCCACTTTTCTTTATTCGTCCCCCTGGGAGGGGGTTCTAGATTGATCCTTGCGATTGATTCCTTCTTTCTCTCCCCACCCTCCCCTAATACCCCTGGTATCTCTACTCTCCTTGTTGGCCCTGAGGGGTTTATCTGTCCTGGATTCCCTGTGTTGAGGCTCTTATCTGTACCAGTGGGCGTGCTCTGGTCTAATTTGATTTGTAAAGCAAAACTGAGATCATGATAGTGGGGGGAAGGAAGCACCAAAGAGCTAGAGGAAAGTTGTGTGTTTCATCAGTGATATACTGCACCATGACTGGCTCATCTCTTCCCTGTGACCCCTCTGTGAGGGGATGTCCAATTGTCTACAAATGGGCATTGGGTCTCCACTCCATGTCCCCCCACTCCTTCCCCTTTGATATGGTTTCATTCTGGGTCTTAGATGCCTGATGCCTGATACCTGATCCCATTGATACCTCATTATCACACAGACTGGTGTGCTTCTTCCATGTGGGCTTTGGTGCTTCTCAGCTAGATGGCCACTTGTTTATCTTCAAGCCTTTAAGACCCCAGATGCTGTATCTTTTGATAGCCAGGCACCATCAGCTTTCTTCACCACATTTGCTTATGCACCCATTTTGTCTTCAGCGACCGTTATCAGGAAGGTGAGCATCACAGAATGCTGGATTGTTAGAACAAAGTGTTCTTGTGTTAAGGAAGTACTTGAGTTGAGGCCCAATGTCCATCTACAACCTTAATTCTTTCCATATAGATATGAATACATAGTTCTATTCCTCTCTCATTATATATATGTACACATATATATGTACATGCCTGTGTTTAGGCCTCTATAAGTTTTGCCTCCTGGTTCTTTCTTGTATTTCCTTTTTACTTCCCTCTAGTCCCACCATCATGTTCAGCCCTCATTTGGGTTTAGTAATTCCTCGCTGTTACACTGCCCTTGATTGAGCCCCACTAGGCATCCTATGACCTTCCTTCCATTGATTTCAGTTCACTTGTTGTTCCCTTGCCCCTAGGTTGGTCCCACCACTTCCTTTCTCCCACTTGCCCTTCTCCCGTATCCCCCCAAGAACCATTGGTCCCGATCTTTTCATCTCCGAATTATTTATCCCGCCTATCTTATCTAGATAGACATGCAGATACATTAATAAGTGCAAAAAACGAGGCAAAGCCAAATAAAACAGCAAAGGAAGTCAAAACCAACAAAACAATAACAACCCAAACCAAAATAACAATAACGAAAAAAGAGCCACTGAAAAAAATGGAAAAGCCTACAAATAGTTCAAAGTCTGTTTGTTGGCCTTTACAAGTGTTTTCCAGTCGAGTCTGATGTCTCCCAAGTCAATTTTTGGTATTCTCCAGGGGGTTCATCATCTGCTCCCCCTACTGCTCTGCTGCATGCCCTCAGTGCCTCAGAGTGATGGGGCCAGACCGTGCACTATTCCACACTGTGTCTCCAGTGCTGTCCCACAGCGTCACGGTTCAGTGAGGGAAGGTGTAAATCTTTATGGGAGCAAAGACTTCATCTTTTTCCTGAGAAGCAGCTGGTAGGTTTGAACCACCAACCTTTTGGTTAGCAGTCCAATGCTCACCCTCTCCTTAGACATTTAAAAACTTGAATATTATTACCTCTTTCCCAGATGTGTCCTGTTTAACTGGTGCCTTTGCTTTTGCCAAAGAATACACAAATGCCCACTTGCATGAACTTTCGCCCGTTTCATTAAGTAGTGCAAAGGATCATCCGACTGCCCAACATCCAGTCCTTACGGCTTGATTTGACAGGGTACTCTAATTTCAAGAAAACCTTGTCTCCCGTAGAATGTGCTCCATTTCTGCTGTCAAGGACCAGAGCATAAAGCTCCCCCTGGCTCCTGCTGCCAGGGAACTTGATTTCATGCCCAGTGCATCCCCTCTCCCAAGTCCAGGACATCTACTTCCTTGTGTTGACTCATCTGCTCCCTGGGCTCTCTGCTGACTGCCTGGCCACAGGCTTTACTCACCCTTCCTTGCAAGTGTATGTGACAATGTTCCCCAAAGTGAAGTTTCTCCCGGTGATGACTGCATCTTTGATGGCAGGCGGCTCTCCACAGAAGACAAGGTGGCAGGTAGGTGGCAATGAGTCCCAGGTGCCCGACGCTGTGCATTCAATGACAGGAGGGCCCTGCAAGCTGCGGGAAGAATGACATCGCCCCTTGCATTAGATGACACAGCAGGACTTAGAAGAAAAATAGGGAACACAGGAGAAATTGAACAGAAAAGTTTCTTCATACTTTGTTTATATAAAAGCCAGGAGAATCTCAACAGGTTCTTAAACAACGAATGGACAACATCACCACCGCCGCCACCCCCTGCCGCCACCACTGCCTGCTGTGAACCTGAGGTCTGCACAGTGTGGCTCACTCTGGTCCGTCTCGGGCTTTACAAACATCCTCATGTCACGGTTTCCCTCACTGCCATCGAGTCCATGCCAACTCAGAGCAACCCTACGTCATGGTTTAGCCACCGGATTTTGACTGT